AGAGATGTCACTAGTGGGAGAGTTTTCATCGTCGCTTTCATTCAGTCCATCGCTGGAGTACAGGTCAAAGGCGTCGATGTTTGCAGCAATGTCACTAAGTGAACAGGCCTGATCCTGCACCCAGCGGCTGCTGTGGCTTCCTCTGTTTCCCCTAAAGCCACTGTTGCCCCAAGTATCTCTCCAACCTCTGCTGAGCTGATGGCCACCTCTCCCTCTGCCTCTCTGACTTCGTTGACCATGGTCACTGACTCGAGCCAGCCTCAAAGCCTGTTTATTTGCATAAGCAGCCTTCAAGGACTGAAAGAGTGTGTCAGGTACGCCTCTAGCTTGCAAAGCTCTGAATGGCTGTGGAGCATTAAAATCGTGGTTCTTCCAGCAGCTGCATTCACGGCTGATGTAGGTCTCACAGATGTGGAGCCTCTTGCAACCATCACCATCCTGACACCTGCCAAACAGTCCAACACCGTTGTTGTAGTCGTGGCATATCTGCAGGAAAGAGGAAAAGATGAAAAGTGAAGGTTATAATCGCAGACTGTAAATCAAACCTGGATTATAATCATACATTCTACATAAACGATGTCTGACATTCCTGTTTGATTTGTTGTTGTTTGTTTTGACTTTAAAAAAGCACTGTACATATAAGCTGTATAAATAAGTAAGACAGGAAAGACTGAGAGCATAAGCTTGATTTGAATCAGTTTAGGTCATTTTGTCATAAACTTCAAAAAAAAAAGGTAAATTCAAGGGGAGATGCAACCATTTGAATCTCCCCCTGCTGGCTATTAAACAAAATGCAGGCATTTAAAGAACTTTCATTTAACACAGTGGTTCCCAAACTTCGTTTTACAAGAAAACGAAATTCATCACGCAACGTCAAACGTATGTGCCTTTTGTCACGTCACGCTGTGCGCCACGTTATTGTTTACATTAGATGAATCTCTACAATGGCGGATAGAGACAAAATACTGTTAATCTGACTATCTGCAGTTTTTACACGCTTACATTTACACACACAGTTGCACTCAATAGCTATATTTTTCCAAAAAAAAAAAAACATTAAAGAAAAACACTTTCAATTCATTTAAAAAACAAAAGTAACGTTAGTGGAAACAGCGGGTGTGGCATTGTGACGTAGGAATGCAAACTAGACTGACTCGTCTGGTTCATGCTGTGTGTTGTTAGACTTACATCAGGAAGAACTGTGTGGTCACTCTGCAGCAGCAGGGTGCACAGCTCCTCTCGGCTCAGGCTCTCCAGCTCATGCTGCCTCAGAAGTCTTTGGTTATGCTCAGAGGTCAGCTCATGGGAGAAGCTGCAGCCCCTCCTGTTGTAACAGAATTCACACAGCTGAGTCATGACGTAAGTACTCAGTAAAAGAAAAGAAAAAAAACCCCAAAACAATAATGACAGCAACAAAAAAGCTGTCATGTACGTCATGGGTCATCTTTCTGGTAGAAAGTCCGTTTGCAAGTCAAAACACGGCGCGATAACAAGTGGACAGAATT